ATATTGTGGAAGATTAATTAGACCGGCTCGGAATCTCTTTATTTAAAAAAAGGGAGAAAATTATATAAAAATTTGAAAGCTGCGTCTAAAAATGCACTTCCACCGCCCGCACGTCGTCACGTTAATTATATGGCATCGTCCGTTAAATACAAGGAAATAAGAAATGATAAATTAGGATTATCATTGTATATCGCCTCACATACCACGAGTCATATAAATAAATACATTTCTATAATTTTAAAAATAGTTAAAAATGTGTATAAAAGGGCATTTTATACATTAAAACTCTACACTGGTTTATGAGCTATCTTTATCTCTCTCTACATTGATTTATTAGCTATCTACATTGGTTTATCAGCTATCATTAATAGAGAACATTAATGGTAGATGAGATTATGATGGAGGTAAGTGTGTACACGTCTTTAATAAATTGTTCTTGTACTTTTTGTTACGGTGTACATGCAATGGTTTGTACATACAAATAACAAGCTCAGGTTGCGAGAGATCTGGTGGTCATTATGTGTGGGAGGTGGGCATGCGGAAGAAACGGAATTTGGGATTTCACCATTGATAAGAAGTAGATGGGAATATGCGTAAATATGAGTGCGACTTTCGTATCGTACATATCATTCAGTGACCACGTGAAATCTGAGTTCAACGTCGGTGCTTCTATGACCCCAACGTTTACGTACTGGGTGCGATGTACGATGCCCCTCATAGATACGGTGAAGAATCCACCAGTGGCTTTTACGACGTATGAGGGATTTTCAAACTACAAGGTGATGAGAGCTGTGGATAAAGGGGTAACCCTATTTGTTGAGTTTGAAGACGTCCAGAATCGTGAGCAAGAGTACAGTGTAAATATTGGGTGTCAGAAGGAGCTCGTGTACAGTCTGGATGATGTGTTCCCTGCCAATTGTACACCGGCTAGAGGAGACAGTCAGACTCCATTCCCTAACGTACATGCAACTGTCTCTTCGTGTGACGTAGAACGACGAATTTGTATTTGAAGGAGAGGAAGAAGAAGTTTCGGATGACGACCCAGTTTTGGATGAAGAATTCGAGGACTTTGAAGAGAGTATACGACATGAATCAGGAGGCGAGGAAGATGAAGAGTACGATATGGATCATTGGACTGAATTAATTAATCGTGAGTATGAAGCAGGGGAGCCCGAGGATGAGGAAGATGGAAGGACGTCGGCCGTGGAAAGCTCAGAAGAAACATAGGGCACGGTGAATGAGAAAATACAGCAACCAAGTACATTCGTCCCGCTAAGCCTCCAAAATCTGTACGTCGACATACAAAGCGACGAGGGGTTATACGCCGTGGACGCCGCACCTGTGTTTGATGAGTTCGATGATATTGACTGTAACCTGTGTGATATATACGTTGGAACAACATAAGATGTAGTGTACAAAGGACGGACGTTCAAGAAAAAGAAAGAGTGTCACATGACACTAGGAATTTTTGCGATAAAAAGGTTATACCACTTCAAGCATACTAGGTCAACGCCAAAGAAGATTGTATGTACATGCGTGAATCCAAAATTTGACTTCTATGTCTACGCAGCAGGGGTCCCGAACTCATACTACTTTGAGATATGCAAAGATATATTGGAGCACAAGTGTGACATTATATCTCGGGCACAGTTCACAAAATACACAACGGCGAAAGTTATTTTTGAGCTTATGAAATCTAAAAATGTTAATGGGGCATCATGACCACGAGCTTGTGATGTACCAGCTCTGATGCTATACGAGCTACATATAACGGTGACA